AAATTTATTCGAACAAATTATTCTATAGAAATTTCGAATTTCAAAATGTGCTGTATGCACACGACTGTTTTGTTTATTTTAATCTTCTTGGCCGTTCTGTATCTTAAGCCAAGTGACTTTATCTAACAGTGTTCTCAGTCATTAAAAGGCGGTTGGATAAACAAATATTCCTACAAGTTAATGTTATATTAGGCAATGCATACAGTATTCCTTCACTTGTAGATTTTTTTGGGAAAAAACAAGTTTTTTATTATAAATGGTAAAAGTCGAAAGGCAGCTACAAGTAAATAAATCGCATCACCATTAAAGCAAGAAATTCTTGAAACTGTTCGAAATAATGTTTACCCGTAATCCATTATACTATATCTCTTTTATAAATTAATAGATTTAGATGTCGCAGCTACAATTTACATGTTTTCAAAGATAAACCAACGATTTTACGTATACATTCATGTAGTTGCTTTACATACTGTATATACTGATATGAACTGTATGTAGTATAAAAAAATCCGATGATGTCTTAAAACTTGTTATACACAATATGCTTGTCACAAGTTATTATTATGTGCTAACCGGTGGCGTTAAAAATTCAGTATTACACACACAATGCATACTGTATATGTCCTTTATCAAAGGCAATGAAAGATCAGTAAATTTATTACAAATATGATAAACTCTATCTTAAATTAAAAATTACTTTTATATGAAAGAGGAGAGATAAGAGATTATTTTTTGTGTCTCACGATAAGGTATAATGTAATGTTTAGTAAATATGGGATTTGGATATTTAAATATTCGAAACTTATGCGTGTGGTATAAGTGCAAATCACATCAAATCGCAGATCGATCATTGATGAACGAAGAATACAGATAATGTTCTAATCAAAGCTTTCGATTCACATTGTGTGAAAAAAAAAAATACGTGCAAAAAAGGTCAATTTAAAATTCAAGAAACATATCAAAAATTTAAACAAAGTAACTCCGGCTTCCACGTTCGAATTCCGCAAAATTTTATCATAGATCACTTCCATATTTCATTGTAATAAGGAATTTGTATTGCACCTATCAGTTATAGAAAAAAGCATTATTTCCGCGACAAAAAAAAAAAAGGAAAAGAAAGTTCTACTTGTAAACAGTGTAAACTAAAGACTCCGGAGAATCGTTTTGTATGCGATTATTTGACGGGGGGTATAGAAGAAAAGGATTATTCTGAGTGCTGAAATCTTTTTTTTTTTATATTTGATGACAATATAACAAAATAATTCTAGCATTGTATTGTAGTATGATTTTTTGCAAGAAAAAAATTGCGATAAAAACAAGAAGAAAGAGACAAAGAAAAAAGTTATGTTTATTTTTATTAATCCCTAATACAAAATAAAATTATTATAACATATATTTTTTAGGCAATATTCTTTTAAATTTATCTTCTTTATACGATACCTTTTTTTTTTTTAAAAAAAAAAAGAAATACTTCACCGAATATAAAAAAAAAAAACAAATAAATAAAGCAAGTTCAAAGGATTATGTGCGGTATACAAATATTGTTAATCACGTGATCATGAGCATTGAGAATTACGTATATTAAGTAGAACAATCAAATAATTTAGACAAAGGCTTTTGTTATAGCATGATTTCGGTTTTGTATTAGTAATCATGAGTAATGATGTTATATGCAGTGTGTTTATAGATAAAGAGACCACGCCAGATCGTATTAACATCTAGATATTTTAAATGTTACTGTTATCTTTGACGACGCATTAATTCGTTAGTCGCAATAATTTTTAATTCTCTATCTACATAAGTGTGGTTTAGAGATTACGAATTGTCGACAAAATTGTCGAATAAGAATATTGAATAAAATGAGATTATGTAAACTTACGATAACACCCAATAATTTGATTAAGCTTCACTTATTTGTATTTTGAAAGATTAATACGCCAAATAAACATGGGGGTTTCGAACTTTGCAATGTCTATAAACTTTATCAAATGCAACTAACCATTTATTGCTTGCGTGTAAAAAACCTGTAGCGTATTCATTGTCTTCAAACGGCGTAAAAGAACCAATGGAGACCTATGAGCACATAAACATTTGTAAAATAAGAATTATTAGTCATTTTTATAATAAAGAAATTAGTTTTTAATCGGAGCTCGTTGCCGTGTGCCCGATATATTTAAGTCAGAGGGAACAAATTTAAATTTTATTAGCAATAATCGAAATTTATCAAATGATATCAAACATTAAGTCTAAAGACTTACGGATCGAAACAATATCGCAGGAATTTACACACAAAGGTATCCCGGAGAATTTTTCACCGGGCAACCTTTAATCAGAGCGTCGGAATCGTACTTTGAAACTATCAATAGTTTGCCATAAATTAAATATTAGCTTACCGAATTTTTTTAACATAATACATCTGGGTTACACGGGAAAATATGATTTTGATCAATCAACGTACGTACTTTATAATGTTATTGTAAATACTGTACTGTAAAGGATTTTCAACACACATCCATAAAATCTTTATCTCCTTCGTTAAATTGGTATGCCGTACTTTGTTCTACGAATATGTACAAACAATCTTCCGGTGATCGCTACTGATATTAGCATCAATATTTTCATTTTCCGCGCATTTGAAATTCATCAGCGAATAAATAGACTTTGACTTTCACACAATATGTAATGATTCACTATTGTAATGTCGCGCACCACACGGTTGTTTGGTTTTACTCTAAACCATTTGGTCATTCTATACTTACATGATATCGCTAAGTCAAATAGCTTGATCTATTGGCATTCTAAATAATTAAATGAAGGTCCGATCAAAATCGCTATTATTACAAGTTCTTGTCACACTAGACTATCTATGATTATATCCTTTTTGACTTCATTGGAAAAAATCTTTTAATTATAACAGGCGGGAATCCGGAAATAAGTACACAGGTAAAAATTGTTCTTATCATTGTCTGACAGCGGAAAATCCTAGCACATCATTCACATTCAGATGGCGTAACTGGTATGTTACACAAACCTTCTTTTTTTTATTAAAAATTTTTTTCGCTGTGTTAAATTCAATCGAATCCGTCAAGTAGAATTCTTTCGGTGGGAGGAAAGGATTTCGATCCATATCAAAAGAATGTAACCATAACAATTTGACGCATGCATAAATTATTTATACTAGTGTGCGCGGTGCATCACTTAATATCATAAACAGTAGTCGGAGCGTTTTATGCATTGATTCCGAAATGTCATTATCTACTTGACGGAAATTGATAAATAAAGGTTATAGCGTTCAGTGAAAAACCATGTATAAGCGGGCCACTGTACGTTGGTGATCTTTGGAAGCGTATGGCAAGCAATATACTGTAATAATCTAACGGCTAGATTATTTTCAGTAAGATCGTTTTAATTTTGTTATTTTGTTAGCTAATAAGTTGCAATGTTATCATTTTGTTATTTTGTTGGCTAATAAGTTGCAATGTTATCATTTGCATAAAGTGATTGATTATACATGCATTTACTTACATAAAATGCCTTGTTGATTGTGCGTTTTTTTTTTTTTTTTGCCTTGATCTCCCATAAAAAGATCAAAATAAAAGAAAAACGGAAAATTCTCGAAAATCCGCGAAAATAATGTGTATGATCACAATACTGTATGCGCGATCTTTGCATAACGTGTGACTAGTTTCGATCGGTTTCACGCCAAACTGAATAGCACAGATATATGTAAAAAAAAAAAATGTAATAATAAAGTCCTAGATAAGTAGAGATATTTGACCATTATGAACGCATATATTTACAAGATATTATATGTACTGTATATAAAGTTAAAATAACATCAAGCAACAAAACACTTTAAATAAGATCAACCTCATGCATGATTGGCGAGGGCACTGGGATACGAGTTTGGCATCCTAGTTTTATTGATACAATGAAATCTTTACTTTAATATGTATAATCCATTATCAGACCATCTGATCTATAACAAGTTTGATTTTGTTAGTCCATTAATTATAAAAGCCCTTATATTCACCAAATAGTTTTAAATATGTATGCTATTTAATATTTTGTTAAGTAGAGAACAAACAGCATTTCCTAACGTAAGCTACGTGTGGAAGGTTCCTTCACGACAATATATGACAATAAGTACTCATTTCTTTGTCTTATTCTGTCTTATACCCGGAGTTAGATAACTATATGGGATATCGTCCTTAAAGGCCATTGGAATTAACTTTTCTATTGCCATTTGTGATTTTCTTTTTAAAGAAAAAAAAGAGGCGACAAGTTTATGTATGTTATTTTTATGCGTCACCCAATCCGTGGCGTTATAAACCGATATCACACATATGGCATTTTATCAGAGAGCAATTGGTGATTTTAGTATAAATATTATAAATTGTTTCTTAGATCACTGGTTCTTTATACAGTACTTCTAGATAGAAAATAACAAATAGATTATTTGTACACTTTATTTCCGATTTATTGATCACAAACATAAAAAAAAAAATTATTCTCCAAATTTAGAAAAAAAAATGATTTTAAGTGCCTTTCACGATAAGACCTTTTAGGAAATATGGGAGTTGTATTATTACTTAGAGCTTAGTATGCTTTTTTAAAAGAAATCATGCGAGATTTTTGGACATATTGCGAGGTGTGCCAAAAGGTTATCAATTGGAAAGAAAAGTTACGTAAATTATTTGCTGGTAGCGGTAGGTATTTTCAATGATCTTGATTCAAATTATACGTGAAAAAAATCTACGTGTAGAAAAAAGTCGAATTTTTCGTGTTGGAATTTCCGTAAAATACGAGATACGTAATTTCCAAGCTTCACTAATACGAAATATACTGTATATTGAAAAAATATAAATTTCCGCTTGTAATTTGCGGATACGGGATATTATAGTTGGAGTTTGCTGGAAAATTTTTAGATAAAATCGAAATAATGTGCGTGGGAAGTAAAGTATTCTAAACTGTGATGATTCGGATTTGTTTGTTTTTTTTCAAAACGTAATGCCGAACATCATATTATTTTTTCGAGGCCCCTGCAGAGTAGGGACATTAATTGATTGCGCACCAAGAAATTCTAGGGCCTGCCTTCGTGTGAATGCGAGTGACATTTTCTCGATCTGTGAGTCTATAGATCCATCCGAAAGGTTCTTGCCTTCCATGTAAGATACACGCTCTTTCCATTTTAGACAATGTTTCCAAATGTATTGTGAAAATTTTTTTAAAACTGTGTCTAAGTATGATAGCCCGAGTTTTCCTACAGCTATGGAAACATGTAAAGTCAGTAAGGCTCTGCCTCTGACTTGAGTTCCAGATTGTTTACCACGTAATAATTTTTTGACCAGTGGGTAAATTTTTTTGCGACATTGCCTTACTTGACAATTAGATAGTAAGGTATTATTGGTGGACATTTTTTTTATGTTTTTTTGTTTTTTGAATTTGTCGCGTCTGGATAGAAAAAAAAAAATCACGGCTTATATTTGTTTTTTTTTTTTTTTCTTCCTACGGCTAATAAATTTTACGGGTTTAAAGAATCACAACATTACGCCTTCATTGTTTGATTCACAATCAGACTAAACTGTACAAGTAAAACCTGTCAATTAAAAAGCTTCACTTCATGTTGTAATATTTTCAATTCTATACTATTTTACTTTTTCTTTTATGATTCAATCATACGTCCCTTTGTTCTTTTTACATAGTTCATCTCATCTAACCCGTTAAATACAGATATCAAAGGCACGATAAACCAAATACTGTAAATATATAATCGGACATGTAGCTACAGTATTCTGCGGTTAATGTTCAAGTTATAACTAACGTATATACTGGTTCGTACACAGAGGAAAGTAAATTTTCTTATCATCAAAAACTTTTTATCTGGTAAATAAATAAATAACATACAGTATATCCATTTATTTGTGATATATTATGAATCAAGTACCCGCGGAGCCTTTTTATCCGGATCAAAATGATAATAATTTATGTAATATTCCTATTCATGAGTTGACTATTGATCACTTTTAAGATTATGCTTATTATTCTCGTAATTTATCACTATGTTATCAACAAACAGAGGATTTGATATTTTTAATTATAATATAATAATATAAATATTAAGTTAGGTATTTCTCATGATCTTTATTAATTAAGCAAGAAAATGTTGCATAATTAATGTCCACCTATCATCATGCAGTTATATTTTGAAAAAATTTTCTTTTAAAAAAAGAAAAGGAAAGAAACTATCTATTTTATCACAAAGGAGTATAAATAGAATTTCAGAGAAAAGTTACTTGAATGGAATTAAGAAATTTATTAAAAGCAATTTTTTCCTAAACTTTATTGAATAAAGATATTTGATTGTTTTTCCCAAGTTTTTAGATACAGAAAATATATACCTTTTCTTTTTCAATCATGTTTTTGATTTCTAGTATTATTCACTTGAAATATTATGGTTTTTAAAAGTATCTTTATAAAACTAATTTCCAGTTGTAAATCCATGTTAAAATTATATGATTTATTAAAATTATTTTTAATATTTTAACTATTTTAATACAGTAGTAATATAAAAAATAAGTATATGCAGTATATATATAAATAAGACAAAAATCTAAAACTTTCAGTCTTTAATCAAACTTTTAATTTCCAATTTAATATAAGATTTACTCTTTAAATTGCTTAGATTTATTGTTTAGTAATCACAATAGGAGTTTAGAAATAGTTTAAGTAGTTATTGAAAATTGAAATTATTTTTTTTTGTTTTGTTACATTATATTTTATTATATTTTATATTATTTTAAAACCTTAAACCAAATCTTATTATATCTTAAGCCTTAAAAACAAATATTAATTAAAAAAAATTCAATCAAATACTTTTAATATTTATTTACAAATATTATATATGTATTTTTTATAACAGATACTAAATGCAACATGTTATTTAAATAAATATTTACTATTATCATATTAACAATTTTTATAAGAATAGATCAATTATAATCTATTATAACAAAATTATTGACATTAATTATTATTACATAAATAAACCTATATCAATAATATTGAATAATAATATTTTATTTAGAACAATAAAATTACTATTAAATAAAAAAATGTTTATTAGTATAATTGTTCAAAAGATTTAATAAATTAAAAATTTATTAAAAGGGATAATTATAATAATATTATTTATATTTAAATATTTAATATTGTTTGTTTGTTTGTTTATTTTATTTCAAAGATTGATGAAATTATTATTAAATTAAAGTATTTTCTTCAAATCTGATATAGAATTTAAGTATATAATTAAAAATAATCTTTTTTTTCTAGAAAAGATTCAATAATAAATTAATTTTACAAAAAATTAAATTTATAGATTTATCATTTATAAGCTTAAAAATAATAATAAAATCAATTACTGCAATGTTTTTAAGATTGAAACCCATTATAAGATTTTCAAGTTTGGATTTTTTTTTATTAATTGAAAATTTGTTATAAGTATCAGAAAATATACATAGAAAATCTTTTAAAAAAAATATTATATCTTAAATATAAGTTGTTAAAATAAAAACTAAAATATTGTTTATAAAGTTTAAATTTAATTGAAAATCAATTTTTTGGAATTTTAATTTTAAAAGTAAATCAAATTTTATATTTATTTAATTATATTTATTTAATTATATTTTATTTAATTATATTTTATTAATTTTCTATTAACTTTGATAACCATTTCAAACTTTTCAAAGAAATAAATTTGTAAATAACTAAAAAGTTAACAATTTACTATTATTTTTTTGTACATAAATATTGTCACATTATTAATTATAAAAAATTCAGATTTTCTACATGACGAAAATAACAATATCTCTTATATAACATATAACATTAATAAGTTTAATGCTAGCTTGTCTATATTAATCTATTATGTGATAGAGAAAAATAAATATTAAAACTACTATACATCATAGAAAATGCTGAACAGCTATACTGTAAATACTTACTTAGAGTTATTAGTAATAAGTTGATTAGGATTAAAGATTAAATTTTTTAAATATGATAACAAATTGAGGTTACTATTTATAAATTCATCTATGACAATAGATGGAAAGTCTATTAATTATATCATCTAATTTGGAGTTGAAATTTAAGAATTGATAAGAATGATTATAGGATTTGGTTGATAAGTTCTTGTGAAATTGTGAAGATCCTGATTCCAAGTTATTCCTATAGAAGGAGAAATGTTTGCTGTATTATACCTTGATTTCCATATAAAGGTTGTAAAGAAGAGTAAGTGCTTTTGAGGCTGCTTTTACCCAAGTATCAATATTAATTATGACAAAGATCTTGCTGGTAACTTCACAGAACAGTTTGACTATCTGTCAAATATAATTTACTAAAGTATTATTCTTGCTTGGGCAGAGTATATTATTTATGATGTTGATTAGGATTCTGAAAAAGTATCAAACTGGTATCTAACTAATATCAAAATAGTACCAATCTATAGTAAATTTAATATAAGGGTTGTGACCTATTCATATGTTTTTATAGTAAATTTAAGTATCAAACTGGTATCAAAGTAATATTGAAGTGGTATTGTTAGAAGTCCTAGTGTTGATAATTTGGATTATTTGCTCTTCTGCTTCGATACACTTAAATACATGTCTTATGTTTTCAATTTTGAGTTTGCATCTTAGGCAGAAGTGATCTGGATACTATTCTGGATATAATTGATTGAGAAAAGTTCAAGTTGGAAGGGTTCCTAAGAGGATCTTGATTCTAAAGAATATTAAATCACTATAGAAGTTGCTTTTTAGTTTTCTAAGACATTTAGAAAATTTAGTAAGCACTTTTAAATCATAAGAACCAAGAATTTCTCTGAAGGTTTCCATTAACGATGTGCTTTCACATATCATATAGATCTTGATTAACCTTAGAATTCTCTTTAACTATATAATGCTGCTGCCCAGATTGCTATTGTTTATTCTTGGATTTTCAGGAAAGTGAGATGGTGAGATATTTCAATATATGGTATTGTTAGTTCTAGGTTTTGATTTTGGTCTGGTGAATTAAGGTGAGATTGATTTTTGAGAATTTATAGTATTAATTCTTAAAATAATAAAGAAGTGGTTATATTTAACTATTCTTCTTGAACAGTTCAAAATTTCTTGACTGATTTTTCTATTGTCTTTGATTTCGATAGTTGTTGAGTTTTGATACTATTGAATAATATTGTATATAGTTAAAAGAATATTGGAAATTAGAGTACTGAAGTGAAAAGATATAATGAGATAGTTGTTAACTACAATATCATTTTTGTGAGCTTGAATTGAATAAAAGTCCAATTGTTCTAGTTTTATTAGTTGAGATGATATTGGTAAACTAGATTGAATATATAAGTTGAAGTAATTTTTCTTGGGCTTGAGGAGTATTTAAAACTTTCTCTAGCAAATTATTGAGATAGAACTTTGGTAAGAAAGAACTTTGTATAGATATCCATAAAAAAGATGCAGATAGGCTGGTAAAGAAAATAAGACAAGAATTATTGCAAGAAGTGCCTAATAAACAGCCTGGACACTTGGTTAGATTGTTGAATTGATCTAAAAGGTGATATTTGTCTTTGAGTAATGTACTTTTTCTAATTTCAGATGTTCTTTTGTGGGTTTTAACTATGGCTTGATTTGGATTAACAATCCAGAAGAGAGGTCTTAAGTTAAGGATAAAACCATGAGATCCCCTGAGATTTGAAGAATTAGTGAAGTTCTTAAACCAACTGGATTCTGGACCATACCTTGTGATTCCTATGTGGGACATAAGTTGATACCAGGTATGCTTGACAATACTGTTGAATTTAAGAAGTTGGTTGATGGATTTGTTGTTTAATGTATTCACTGTATAGATGGCTGTTCTTTTGTGATGTCTTTTAAGATTTTTGAAAAGCAACCTATTGAGTTTTGAGCATTGTCAAGATGAAAAGAGCATAATATTGAATATAGTTGGATTTTTAAGCCTTTTGCTATAAGTACTATACTTAGAATACAATTGTCCTGATTGAATTTTTTTGGACTATACAGTGGACAAAACCAGATTGCTTCTTTTTTTTTAATTGATTTAATGCCTTAATGAAGATATTTGTTAATTGATAGAATTGCAAGTTTGGCTATTATATTATTGATTAGTGAGGATCTTTGTCTTTCCTCAAGTAGAGAAATCTTCAATCCCCTTTGCTTGCTAAGATTATATTGAAACATTTTGAGAAGATTCTATAGGTGAATTTAATAAGTTTGTTGCTTTTTTTTTGAAAATTGTTAAGCAAGGTTTTGTAAAGATAAGATGTTAGGAAAAAGTATTCAAATTTTTCAAAAATTACCCAT